AGCTAGCGCCTTAGACCACTCGGCCAAACTGTCGATAAGTGCTTTAAAAATCATAGCGGAGAAGATGCGTTACACTATAGGACATGACACAAAAACGGTTTCGAACCGTTTCCGCGGAATGCGTTCTTCATCAAATCACACGAAGAGAAATTTCTTACAGCTGTGGGATTCGAACCCACGCCCTTGCGGACTGACGCCTGAAGCCAGTGCCTTAGACCACTCGGCCAAACTGTCGATGAGTGCTTCAAGATTCATAGCCGAGGTGATGCATCGCACTGCCAAACCAGAGGACACAAAAAATGGATTGAACGGATTCTGCGAGGTGCGATGGCACAATATCGATCAAAAGGTTTTGGTCTTGCACTACCTCGCTTCTGAAAAGGTCTGGGTTCTCAATATAACACCAGTCAGGTATATAGACTGACAGCTGTGGGGTTCGAACCCACGCCCTTTCGGACTGGCGCCTTAAGCCAGCGCCTTAGACCACTCGGCCAAACTGTCGGTGAGTGCTTCAAAAATCATAGCGGAGAAGATGCGTTACACTATAGGACATGACACAAAAACGGTTTCGAACCGTTTCCGCGGAATGCGTTCTTCATCAAATCACACGAAAAGAAATTTCTAACAGCTGTGGGATTCGAACCCATGCCCTTGCGGACTGGCGCCTTAGGCTAACGCCTTAGACCACTCGGGCAAACTGTTGATGAGTGCTTCAAGATTCATAGCCGAGGTGATGCATCGCTCTGCCAAACCAGAGGACACAAAAAATGGATTGAACGGATTCTGCGAGGTGCGATGGCACAATATCGATCAAAAGGTTTTGGTCTTGCACTACCTCGCTTCTGAAAGGGTCTCGGTTCTTAATATAAGACCAGTCAGGTATATAGACTGACAGCTGTGGGGTTCGAACCCACGCCCTTTCGGACTGACGCCTAAAGCCAGCGCCTTAGACCACTCGGCCAAACTGTCGATAATGCTTCAGATCATAGCCGAGGTGATGCATCGCTCTGCCAAACAGAG